TGTGGTATAGTTTAGAGGCTAGGGATCAAGGGTCTGCTCAAAAATCATGCATCCTGCATTTTTGAAAGCGAAATATCTCAAATAATGGAGACCCTGCTTTGGGGGGCCATGGATGCTGAGGATTACACGTACATTTTGAGGTGCAGTTTGCCGGTTGAGGGCTTGCAGCTTTTACTTGCTTTGTACAGTCCATGGCTTTGGGGTTCCGTCCAAAGGGTGAGTGCTTAGAGAGCTTAGGAGCTGCATAAGCTTGGGAATTTGCGTTGTTATCTAGGGGCCTGTGTACGGGGCCATGGCCCATGGCCCTAAACCTTGAACTATGTGTTTTTTAGTCGGGGATGAAGCAGTGCAGCCCTCATGAGTGAAAGAGGTGCTGGCGTCTTTATGAGGCCTTGAAAAAGGAAACTACTACCATCTAATTGGGTCATGTATACATGTATACAAATGTTAAAGATGCTTGATTCCTGCGCTCGCTGCCTCAAACCTGAACTGGCGAGCAAACATTGTTCAAAGCCACGATGTTCGGGCCTCTTCTTAGAAATGCCTTACACGGGAACCTCTGTATAATTCCAACACTCCGAAAGTAGACACCCGCGGCAAGGAAAAGTGTCTTATGCTTGACACATATGCTAGGTTGTCAAAGTGTTGTCCCTTTTAAAAGGTACGGCTTCGGCGTCTGATATCACGCAAGCATACCCCAAGCGGGGAATGTAAGGCATAGGGTTTGAGGCCTGCTCGCTTGGGGTTTTGCGGTTTGTTAGCAACATGCCTGAAATGAAGCTCTTCGAACCACATTAGCCCAAACGCAGGGGCCTTGGTCGCTCGTGAATACTGTACTACCGGCCAAAGAAACAATTATTTGCAAGCCCATGTAACCCTATACAGCCATACATATATACATATATAATCCTATGTGAGCCATCGTCTGAGCTCCTAGTATCCCCCTGAAAAAAAACCTCAAGAATAGTTCCTTTTATCATCCCGTGTAAAACCCCAGTTCAGGAGTTTGGACTATAGATTAGATAACCATACGTAGCTCCATCTAAACCCTGTTCACACAATTGCGCAGGGAACACTACCTCCCCACATTCGGGTGCACTTCTGAGACACTCTTGCCATCGAGGGGTTAGGGTTTAGGGCTACTCTCTGACATATAAAGCAGCACACAGCTTGTAAAGACACTAGAAATAATTCCAAACCACCCCCTAAGCCTTCTGCCCACAACCTTGAGCCCTGACCCTGCACAGGTCCCCTGTCTAGAGACAAATCCTAAAACTCAATGTGCCTGATAACTAATAACAATGTATTTGGAATTTGGGAAGTAGTAGTACTTGTAGTGTAGGTTTGCGTGCAGTATATGAATATTGGGTACAACCCCTATAGTAGTCCCTTATATAATCCCTATATGACCCCCTTTTAAGGAGTGTAGACTATGGCTCATATGAATATTGGGTACTTGGACTTGGAGAGGCATCATCTGCTTTTTGGATGCGCACGGGATCCTTATTTGGCCGCGTACCCCATACCTCCACACCCAACTTTTCAAGATCCCACAAGTAGGGTCTCATAGCCGACGCCCAATCCTTAACAACTCTATCGAATGGTGTTTAAATCTTAATTGGCACGCATTTTAGCCCGAAAAAGATGCAGCTCAACGCCGTAAGTTCCTTTGGTTTAGGGGTTTGGAGCTCAGAGTTCAAGCTTCAGGGCGTTTTTTTTCCGGACCCTATCTCGGCAAGCTTCGGGGTTTAGGTTTCAGGGATTCGGGTTGAAGGTTAAGAGCTTACAGTCTACAATTTCATCAAACGCTGTTCATTTTCCATGAAACTGGCCTAGATGCATTACAATCTAAAACGACTTTGCGTTGCATGCCAATGCCACTTGCGAGTTTGGAAAACTTTCGGCCCCTAAATCAGCAAGCCGCTCTGTAGAGTCCCCAAGTTCTAAAATGTTAGAACCCCAACCCTTTACTGCGAATCCTTAAGAATCCTAAGCCCCAACAGCCCAAGCCTAAAAATGGCCGCCATGTTTGAGAAATGGTCTTGAAGGGGCTAAGTGAGGCGAACCAGGAAGCCTCTGGCTGCTAAGCCCGCCCGATAAATTCAATAAATTCAAGTCCACCTTAACCCCTGCCCTGCCCTAAACCCATAGTAATAGTAGCAATAACAATAATATTAGTGATAGTAAGAACAATAATAGTAACAATAATAAATATAGTGGGAGTAAGCGTAGACATAATCTAGAAAGCATAATAACCATAGTGTGCACTATCCCTAAACCCAACCCTAAACCCTAAAACCCTAAACCCTAAACCCTAAAACCCTAACCCCTAAACCCTCCTAAGCATCTGAAAGCCCTCAACCCCAACTCTCCACTCCAGGCTGGGATTTCAAACGTTCAGCTAGCATTCGGGGCCCCCGTAAGAGCACATAAGGGTTATACAGGGATATATAGGATTCGGGGTTAAGGGCTTCCCGAAATTAGGGATATTTTGTTGGGGTCCCCGCACTAAGGATTATAGTAAATTGGCGTCTACTCTGGGGTCCCCCTATTTAGGGAAACTACCATGTTAAACATTCAAGTAGCACTCTGGCATCTGTGGTGGACAAGGCCCTGTGGAGCCGTGCACTACGCGGTTCATGCCGCTGGAGAGGCTCACATAAGGAGACGAGGCCTTCCTCCCAACGGTCATACCTTTTCGAGTTTAGGGCTTTGGGTTTAGGGATTTTGTTTTTGACATTTTAAAGCCCTTCTTGGTTTTGGGTAGGGGACGGCACATTTGGAGCTGGGCATGTGTTTTTGGGTTAAGGGAAGCACGATTTGTACAACAAGCTGCCTCGCAATGACCTGAAACGCTGAAGTAATACAAGACCCCAAACGCCGAACAATCTCAAACGCTCTAGCTGATCATAGTCTGAACTACAGTCTTGAACCAGGAGCCCGAACCGCAAGCCCCAGAGCTAAGTTAGCCAATTCCAACATAGCCAGAAGCCTTAGAAACTCTAAAGCTGAAAGCCTGAACCCTAAACCTTACAGCCTCAGCCCTAAACCCACACAGGTCAATCCCAGATACGCAGCTCGTCGATGAGGCGGCACCAGTTGGAGGACAGCGTGCCGATCCAGGAATCTGCCTCAAGGGCTTGGGCTAGGGTTCGGAATTTTTAGGGTTTAGGTTGGGTACTGCCCCCACCCAGTAACAGTCTGTATCAGGGGTCCTATTAAGGGCTATATATATATATAACCATAGTATATTTATTATCCAACTGTTACTGAGGGGGGGCAGTACCCAAGGTTTAGGGCAGTAGAACAAGTTTAGGAATTTGGGGTCTAGAAATTTGGATTTAGGTTTTGGGGCGCCAAAACCTAAACCCCAAACCCTAAACCGCTAAACTCCTTTAGGGTTTAGGGATCTCTCATCCTTTGCCTCAAGGGCTAGCTCCAAGTTGAGGAAGGCGACCAGGACCTGTCCATTGAAAAATAAAAAATGTAGTAGAATGTAACCTAATTGAAAGAGTAATGACAATAAAAAAAAAGCTATATTAATAGTAGTCCTAACCATGATAGTAAGAATGGCAGGAATAAGGGTAGTAGAAATAAGAATACAATCATAATTCTGAGAACAACAATGGTAATTGTAACAGTAGTAAAAAAAAAAAAAAACTGATAACATCCTATAGCCTCTTACAATCAAGCTCTTATACCCTCAACCCTAAAGTCAAAACACCAAGCACTAGTGTTGGCTTCCAGTTGATTTCTTGGGCCTAGATCAAACTAGGTTCCCCAGCAACCCCTCAAATATTCAACTTTAATAAGGAGAACCCAAAAAAAAAGGCGAAAAAAGGTATTACTGTGGTACCTAGGTTAAGGGTTTGGGGTGGTTCAGGGATTTAGGGTTTACCCTAAATCCTAAACCTTTTGGGTTTCAGAGCTTAAGATTTGCTGGGGGTTCGTGATCAGGCTTGAGTGTCCACAGTTTAGGGCTGGGCTAGGGGTTCAGGGTTTAGGGCCCTTAGGGTTTTTGGGTTTAGGGTTTAGGGTTCAGGGTTTTGGGCTTCGAGCCCAAGGTTCGCATTCTGAGATTCAGGGTTCACTGGGTCTTCAGTTGATGATTTGATGAGGGCTTGGCTTGAAAATGTCGCCTGCAAGTCTGGCCGACACGGACAGATGAGGGAGCGGCGCACAGTGACACAGCTGAGACCTCCGTTTTTTCATGTTTCCATTTTAAACTCAGGGCCCTACCAGATTGAGTCCAAGCCCCTCAACCCACCCCTGATTTCCCACTGAGCTTCCGAGGAACCTGTGTGTGTTCTTGGAACTTTCTTTACGTGAACAGACAAGTGGCATTTCATTTACAAAGACTTTCGCACGGGCTCGCATGTCACTCTGAACCTCAGGATGACTTGGGGCTGTCACGCTATTTGCCGTTGCCGGCCCACCTCTAGAAGCCTCGGGATCTATGGTTGAATGATGCAGGGGGTAGGCAGGGCTCCGCCCATACCCCGCTACCTGGCTTTGCGAAAATGTGCCAGCAGAGCCTGAACAGAAAACAAGAGAATTTCATTTATGACGCCCACATGCGCCCCTGCTGAATCACTTGCTGGCACCGGTCAAGCCCGTGCATTCCTAGGCGCGCCAAGATACAACAGCCCCTTCAGAGACTCTTTAACAGAAACTCCGTCAGAGAGGGGAAGCACAAAGGAATCCGTGGGAATGTACCTGATGAGTAAGTGATGAGCAGCGGAGAATCCGGGTTTTGCAGTCTGGCTCACCGGTGCGTTCGAATGAGGTTCATTACAAGCGGGGAACTGCAGTTACTATCCGAACAAGAAAGTTGTAGGAAACAGGGATCGCTCCTCACAAAAGAGCTAAGGGAGATGAGGGCTTCCACAGGTGAAGCCCGAAACCCAAACCCAATCGGTTTAGGGTTTAGGGTTTAGGGTTTACATTGTCCATGCCTACCCTAAATTCCAATTCACAAGCCTCAAACTCCAGTTCCAAGCCTCCATGCGCCGGGCTTGATGAGTGCTTTCCCGCTTTACCCAAGGATCCTCGTTGTGCCTCGCCGCTTTGGTATAAAGCACTTGCCAGGGCGGCGATGCTTTACAAAGCTCCTCAGTTGTCAAATAAGAATACTGGTAATGACAACAATAATAATCATAATAATAACCATAGATCATAGAAAGAATAGTGATTATAGTGATGAACGAAGCCACAAGGTTCCAAGCCCTCCTCCACAACTGCAGGGTCCTCCGTCGAAAGGAAAAGCCTCCGTTTTGCAAATCTCTGGGGTGGATATTTGAAGGTAGCGTTACCTTCGGCCACCTCTTTGTAAAGAATAGGCAAGTCTTGGCTTCCCATGGCCAGGAGATTCAAGGGTTGAACATATTCCGAGAAGTTGTAGAGAGCGCCCTCTGTGAACTTCAGTCCATGCCGTACATGCATCGCAATGCTTCCTCCTGGCTTGCTATCAAGGAGGTGTCTTGCATCTAAAACCGCAGAGGAAGCTAGCTGACAAGGAGGCCCTCGTATCGAACCTACTTCGGAGTTTCCAAAACTGTTGAGTCCGGATACATACCTCGAAACATTATCATCCCTGTCACAAATGCTCCTTAGAAAGGGACCCCTAGTTTTCGGAAACGCCCCTCAAAAATCACAAAGTTATCTGGTCCCTATATAATCCCTTTAATCCCCACATACTCCCCATAGAATCTCTACATAATCCCATAGAATCCCTGCATCCCTACATAATCCCTAAACCCTATAACCCTAAACCCTATACCCTAAACCTTAAACCCTAAACTCGAAACCCTATACCCTAAACCCTAAACCGCTAATCCCTTTTTTGGGGAAATCCAAGGTTCCTGGCAGGAGGCCATCCCGTGGGCTCCCACAGGACTGCAGGGTTTGTGCCCGGAGCTCATCCAGCGCAAGCCGAGTTTTGGCGTTGAACCGGAGAAGATATGTTACCTGGGTTGCCGTTAAGAAACTTAAAAGAAGTTACCATAATATGGGTATATAGTCGTATAGTATACAATACAGTAAGGGGATTCCTTAGTATAGTAACTTAATTCAAGTTCCTTGACGGCAATCCAGTTACTGACTGCGCTCGCCACCAATAAAACCAGAATCTTCTCTTCACCGGAGAGCAAGCGAGCAAATCTTGGAAAATATCCGGAACATGCTGTATGCCATAAGTGCCTTCGAAGATCAAGCTGCGACGCGTGGGCTGTCGCCAAAGGTCTTCCAAACTTTCTGCTTGGGGCAGACCAGAGACGGTCAGGATGTCTCCATGAATCTCTTGGCAGCTTGTGAGATTCCTAGGTTGGATGTTCAAGCTGCGATTTTATAAGACGTAGGACAAAAAAACAAAGAAGAAGCCTTTCTTACCCAATTCGAAGATATTCAAACGTCATGACTTGGCATCAAACCAGAATCTCAAGCCAACACTGCCAGCCCTTCTTTTCTCCGGGGCAAAAGCTTGGATCAACAAGCAGCACCTGGGTCGTTGAGGTGTCAAGAGTTTGTAGGGGTGAGAATTTGAGGTGAAGGGTTTACTAGTTGCTTGCTACTACAGAATGAAAGGTTGGATCCCTCATCAGCCCTTAGATAATCCCAAATAATACAATCTCATCCTGTTTCTTTTCCAGTCCTTCACTAACAACCAATTAGCTGCGGGCTTAAGTCAACTATGCTACAGCAAACGCACACGGTGAACATGCGTTTCGGAGTGGGACATGGGATTCCTGCCAGCATTGTGGCATAGAAGCACTTCAGCATCTGCGCATCTACAGAACTGCTTTAGCTTATCGCCAGCCTTGAAGACGACCCCCCCCCCAACCCTAAACCCTAAACCCTTCAACTTTAACCCCTGCTACCAAAACAATAGACTATCGAATGCGAACCTTTACAGGAGGATGAACCTTGAACCCTTGCCCTAGACATTGGGGCTATATTGGGGTTATACTGTATTGATGTTATATAGGATTGTACAGAGGTTATATAGAGGTTATACTTGGATAATGGAAACGAAAATGGAAACGACTATATTAGTGTAGTATTACTAGATTGTTAATTTAACTGCGGCACGGCGGGATCATCATCCGGTGACACCAAGACGCGGCCCAACTGCATGGCAATGGCTAAGGCTTGGCCAAGCAAGTGCAGCTGGGCCCCAATGCCACAAACCTAGCGGATTGGAACTAGTGTTTAGAGTTTAAAGGCGTTCACAACTAGAATAACAGAGAATAGAGTGGGAGATGAAAGGGAAAGTGTTTTTTAATAGGATTTAAGGCCGTGAGGTATTAGAATCCTCTAAGCTTGCCAGTCCCCAAAACCTGTAATGTGCAACATCAACTCTCTGAACGTGTACCGAAATCTGGCTACCACCAACACATCCCAAACAAAAACCAATCCTAAATGTCCGTGTGGAGAACCAAACTACAGGGCCCATGATGTTGCAAAGCCCCTAACATGCCAACATGGAACTTTGTTGTTGGTGAACTCACTCCCTTCAAGAGAGAAATATTGAATGTATGTACGTTGTCAAAGTGATGGTGAACATGGGGCATCTTCAATACTAGGGGCCGCATGAGGATGAACCCTGAACCTTAAACCATACAGGGAACATTTAGTTGGACAAAGCCAAACAATACAGATATACACGGTACTTACTCCTCCTTTACCAGCAAGTAATCTCAAAAGGGCCCCTTGTAGAATACTGTTCTTTCAAGGTGGGCTATATAGGGTTTAGGGTTTAGGGTGTTTGAGGTGCACCTAACTGTTGAATATCACAGCTTGATAATCCTTCGTGTGATGTCGATCTTTTGGCTGTCTAGACAGGTCAAGTCGGTTAAACGCTACTTCTCGGACCGTCGCAAAGCGTAGGGATTCGGGTCATGTTCTGAAAAAAATGCGCAAAACCTGTCTGAGCCCTAGAAAAGGTCATACGGTACCGAAGGCGCCGAATCCTTAGAAAGTGTTGTGCACTAATACCCTCCTGCAAGCTAATGCGGAATCCAAAAAATAAATCCAAGAAAGACAACTTTGCTTACAAAAGGGAGCCCTTTCAGCCCTCATGTCTGCTTCGGTGAGTAGATACCCTATATGTCCGTATCTATCCCGACAGCTCCCAATAAATCCCCATAGCCCTAAACCTCAGACCCTAAACCCTAAACCCCAAACCCTAAACCCTAAACCCCAGACCCTAAACCCTAAACCTTAGACCCTAAACCCTAAATGCCCATGACCCTAACCCCTAAACCCCAGACCCTAAACCCTAAACCCTAAACCCTGAAGGCCCATAACCGCCTTTCAAAGTTGCTGGGGCAAAACCGGCAGCCCCCCCAAACCTTCTAGAGTCCCCTATAGGCCCTTTCTAGGGTTTAGGGTACTACCCTTGTTGAGGATATATGAGTCGTGTTTTTTTGGTGGTTAAACCTAGTAAGATAATATTCCTAATATAAAACGCTATACCCCAAAAGGAGGATGTAATCTTACTCTACCTTGGGTACCATAGTATCCCCAAATGAAGTATCCCTAAACCCTAAACCCTATAACGGATACCATAGTATCCCCAAATCAAATACTGCTCATATGGGCCTGGTGGTAGTACACGAGAAACTTTGCCTCGCTACAGTTCTTGGGGTGCTGGTGGTTCCAGATCCTGGGTGTCAGTGTTAAGGTTTAGTGTTGAAGGTTTAGGGTGTAGGATTTAGGGTTCAGGGTTTAAGGTTTAGGGTTTAGGGTTTAGAATTTACGGTTTAGGATTTAGGGTTTAGGATTTGGGGTTTCGGGTTTAGGGTTTAAGGCGTAGGGACAGTTCCCCTTGAAGGGGCTCTAGGGGCTATATAGCAGCTTTCAAGTGTTTAGGGCCCAACTACCCCATGATGCCGTGATGGTCCTTTAATGATCCTTAGCTTAAGCCCTTCCCAGACCCCTAGATCCCCTTTTATAGACCCATTATAACCCCTATAGAATCCTTATAAAATTCCCTAAACCCTTAACCCTAAACCCTGAACCCTAAACCCTAAACCCTAAGATGGTTCTAGGGGATCTACTTCTTAGATCCCTTTGGGGGGTCTGGGTTAACAGCAACCCAGGCTCAGCTGCTGGGCATAAGCTGTGCCGTAGAGGATCTCCGGCTCGAATTCCTGTTTGAAGTTTAGGGTTTAGGGTTTAGGGGTTATGTATTATAGTCCCCCTTAAGTAGATAGAATATGGCGTTGGGTATATTATAATAAGATCCCCATATACCCCATATTCTATCTACTCAAAGGGGGACTATAGGTTTTGGGGCTTAGGTGTCTCTAGAACTTGGGATTTGAGTAAATGGATTCAAGGTTTGTATTCTATGGCAAAAGGCTTGAGGTTTGGATTCTTGGGTTAAAAGATTTAGGATCCAGAGTTTAGGGTTAAGAGCTTCAGGAGTCGGAATGTAGGGCTAAGCGCTTTAGAGTTTGGAGTGTAGGGTTGAAGGTTTGTCGGCTTGAGATTCAGGAGGTAAGGTTTTTGGAAACTAGGGTTTAAAACTTGACGGCTTGAATTTTAGGATCAAGAACCTTGTGGTTCAGAACTTAGAGGAAGGGGCTGTAGGCTTAGGGTTTAAGATTTGCTGCTTGGGGTTCAGGACTGGGGGTTCAGGGCCTGGGGTTCAGGGGTTGGGATGAATCCCCCAAACTAATGTGGAAACCCAGAAAGACCCGTTTTAAGGGGACATCCCCTTCAGTCTTGAATATTAGGACCAGATTCTTCAGGCACGCCGCCTGATTGTTGCAAGAACCGCCAGGGATACCGTGTGGAATTCCAACCGTCCCTCAGCAGCTCTTCATCCATGCTGTAGGCTTCACCTGTGGCTACAGGTACCTACCATTGGGCTTTGGGAGGTTTAGGGCCTAAACCCTCAACCCTAAGGTCTGCGGTTTAGGGGATATCAACCCAGAAACTGCCAGGTCTAGCCCCCTTATGCAATGAGCAAATGTACCATGGTCTAAACTCCTAGTATCCCCCTTAATAAGCCCTATAGTAGTCCCCTATATAATCCTTATATAACCCCTTTAAGGAATTTAGACTATAGGTCAAATGCAATTACAGGCACAAGATTGGTTGCCCCGAGCCAGCTCCCTGCTGTAAATATGGTTCTGCACTTTGGTGGTTTTTGTAGCCGGCACTTCGCCACGGCCCCGTGCACCTGGGGGCTTCCAAAAGCAGGGGTACCCTTAGGAGGGTCCTTCGCAAGGAGTGTATAAGGGGGGTTCTCTCTAAACCCTGAACCCTCAGCCTCAAAGCCAAATCCTACACCCTAAGCCTTAAACCCGAAATCTTACACCCCCAGCCTTGAACCCCAAATCCTAAACCGTAAGCCTTGAACACCAAATCTACTCCCAAACCAAAATTTAAAACTCTAAACCCTAAACCCTAATTTAGTCCAGACCACATTGCTAAGCGATAGGTTTAAGGGTTTGTGGTTTAGGGTTTAGGGACATACCACCCCCACAGCTGCCGCTGGGTTGGCAGCCACAAAATCAACAAGTGAAAATCACACCAGTGGGATCGCATCTTCGTGAACAGCAAGACAGCCTTCTTCAAGGACTTCATAAAGTATCACTTGAGCCAAAATCTAAAGTCCTTCAAGGGGGGGTTATATCGGAGAGGTTTACATGGATTACAAAGGGCCGTGCTAGGAATTCAGAACCTAAACCCTAAACCCGACAGTTTACTATTACTAGGAGTTCAGAC